CGCCCATGTCCAAGACTCAACAGAGAACATATGTACGGGAAGCGGAAGCATCTCAGGACATGCAAATGCTGTGCCAGTGAAGAGCTTGACTGCATGTCTAGAAAGCGCTCGACATTCTTCAGCTGGTGACATCAGGAGCCCTTGGGAGTCACGGAGTCTTATCCCCTGCTTCAAATTCTTGGGAGAAAGCCATCTAACACACCTATAGAGACCCTTCGCATCTCCCTTTGCCGCTGCGTCCTCGGCCATCTGCAGGATCTGCAAGTGTTGCTGCGCTTTGCGTGCCCGCGCAGCTCGCCGGAGCTCTTTATGTGCTTGGTTCATTTTTTGGAAAAGACGAAAACGCTCAAAGATGCCCTTGAGCGACTGAACCGCAGTGGCCTTGAACCGAGCTCGAGCATTCCAGTAGGTTTTGACCGGGCTGTCAATGCATGCGACCTGGGGCTTCTGCGGAGTCGTCTGAGCCGTAGACTCTCGAACCATACGTTGCTTGAGCCTTTGTAAATCCTGATGCTGTTGCAGCGCCTCAACGAGCGAGGCGGTGCGTGATTTGCCCGCCTGTCGTGCCGCATGTTTCCAAGGCCGCCAGTCCCACTTGAGAGAGGCCCGAACAGGAAGATGCCCAGATGTACGCCAACCAGCAAGGGGAACCTCAGCTGGAGATGCATTCCGGGCCTGATTGTCGGCCAGAACTTTGCGCACAATCAGATAGTCGATTTGTGACTTTCCATTCGGATGCCGGTAGGTGTAGCGTTTCTGCCGCCAGGAGTTGAGAGCGCAAAGTCCATGTCTACGAAGCATATCCCCTATCCATTGACGCTCTTCAGTCAGATGCGGACGGTCCGCACCCCGGTGCACACCGTGGCCAACATGGGGTGGGGAGGGCTCAAGGACACTGTTTAGGTCACCCCCAATCACAACTGAGGACCGTGCCGGCAGCGATCCAACATGTTTGTCGAGCGACTTCAAGAGATTACTTCTCTTTTTCATGACATCTTCCAGAAGCTCTCCACTAAAGGGGAGAGCATGTTGATATACCGTAATCAGGTCAACATGCTGCTGGAGGGCAAAGGCTCTGACGTGAAGCAGTCTGCCAGGAATCAGCTCCTGCCATCTGATCATCTCCTTACTGAAAGTGTCCTGACGTAATCCAATGAGGACGCCACCAGATTTGGGCTTGGGTGAGGCTGAGTGGCAAAAGTACCACCCATCCGCAGCCCAGTCACAGCTTGCACTCCAGTGTGTCTCCTGGAGCATAACGGCCCGTATGTGCCCTTGTTGTCGGAGCCACACCATAAGTTCGGCCATCAACACCTGTGTGAGCCCTCCTACGTTCCATGTGATGCATTCAAGTCTACACTGACCAGAGTCTAGCTTGTCAGCAATCGGCTGCTGAAGAAGATCAGGCTGCGCAACCAGTCGCATGCCTCGATACACTGTGTGACCGTGCCTTTGAGCTCGTTTGACAGCTCTTTGCAGAGATCTCTTCTTGATTGTGGAAAGCTGCTGAACCTGCTGCACCGGAAAAATTCCCCCATTCTTCGCCGAAGCTTCAGATACGCCTGGGGGTGCGGTATCAACCCTCACGCCAACGGCCCCTCCTAGCAATTTGCATTGAAGTTCATGTGGCCGTACCTGGACTTGGGACCAGGGCGAGCGATCGCCGAGTGATGTACATACAGAATCATTGAACTCAGCTGAAAACCATGTTGGATGAAAGAGACATGGTTCCTCGGCTACTGGAGAGTCAGGCGGGGTGCACTCACAGCCTGCGCATGGAAAAGTGGCCAAGCCATCCCAAATATGAAACCCCATGCTCAGAGCAGAAGTCTGTATGCGGGATAGTTGTAGGCACAGAAAGCCGAGAAGATCAAAAAGCACTCTTCAGGAAACAGATCGCGCACGTCTCCGATGATATCGGCAGCTGAGGCCTCCTTCCAATAGGCCTGTAGCAGCTCGTCCGTGTACTGAGCTGCCGCAACTGACTCAGGTGAATCCCTGCAAAAGTACTCAGAGATAATGTCTCGGGCTGCTGCTTTCAGATGCAAACACTCCGAAATCCCATTGCTGGCCATAGAACCCCCCGCCGCGTTTGAACCGCTCGTGGCGCTTTACTACTACTACTATTACTACTACTACTACTACTACTACTACCTGTCCAGGGCCAGCTGGGGAAGCCCAAGACGCAGGAGAAGGCGCTTGAGCGCTTCATTAGCAACCTTTCCCAAGACATGGTGGACTATTTCCGCAAAGAGCTCTACAAGCGCTTCTTCCAGAATGCACCCTCAGGCCATGTCCGAGGGGGCATTCTAGGGCTTTGTTTGTTGCGTGTTCCGGTTTTGGCATCTCGGTGTGTGGTTTGCTACAAAGAGCCCACAGAGGACTGCAATCCCGGAATTCGAGAGAAGTAAATAAGCCATCCATGTTCCTGTTTCTTTCGGCTCGTATCAACCATTAGGTGAAAGATTTGACATGATTTGAGTGATTATAAAGGTTCAGAGGTTTTAAGAATACCGGATGGGACTATGTTGACCACGTTAGGTTCGGCGCGCATGCAACAGAAAGCAAATTCAAGAGAACCCAACATGCCAGACCAAACAATCCAAGACCAAAAGAACAAATACGATCAATACCCGACAGCAAAGCAAAATCAAAGAACACAAAAGCAGAGCCGTACATCCACAAAAAGCCGAACAACCAAAACTCCGAACTTGCTGGCTCACTAGCCACACAGTTCAAGATTTTGTGGTTTTGTTCTAGCCAAACAGCATAACCTATTTTTAATGCTTTAGTATCTGGATCTAGTTGCCTGGCTTGCTTCTCCGAGAGCCCAACAACATCAGTTATTCTGCAATGTGTTCTGAAGATTCGCTTAAAGCCGCTTCAACGCATCGAGCATGTGGTAAACAAAAGAACGTGCTGGATCTTGTTATCTCTTGCCGTGGCTAAGAAAAGAGGATGACTAATTGTGCAAGCGAAGTATTTTCGGCTGTCTGAGTTGTTTCTTCCACATAAGCCGTACGGTTTGAGTATGCAGAATGCCCACTTGTGTCATGTTTTCCTCGAAGATCAGCCATCAACGTATTCAAGATGTGGCTTCAGCATTTTTCACAACTCCTTCGAGCCGCAAACTTAATCGGATCAAGCGTGATGAAAGGGGACGTTTCCAGTGGACAGATTCTTCAGGAGTGGCATACCTATATACACGTAAGCAAGACAAATGTTTTCTTCTTCGTTTGCAACAGCTTTTGAATCACTGAGCCAAGGTGTTTCGCTGCCCGTTCAACAGTGTACAACTTGAAGAGTTGCCTGGCTCTGGCATGAACAGCTGACTTCGAATCCCAACAGAGTTTTCTGTCAGACTTTGCCGAATTGTAAGTGTATCAAACAGCCAAATCATGCAGCTGCTGTGTTCCATGGCTGGCCAGTTTTTTTTGTGATATTCACTAGAAGCGTTTGACTTGTGCATCTTTGACAGTGATCATAAAAGCATGATATCCACTTGGATCAAGGTGGTCAATTCTGAACAGTGCTTTTGTTTTCAAAAATGTGCACCTCCTTCATGTAACAACAGGTCTCGAGGAACCTAAGCCAGTGGGATTGATTTACCATGTCAGTGTCGCCTCCCATGGTATGTCCCCCCTGTCCCCTACCGCGCAGGGCCGAGCCAGGCCTGTCATCCGAGCAAACAGTCGCAGGGATGGTGGCCGTCTGCGGCATCCTCCTGGTAACTGTCGACTTTTTTTGGGACTCTCGCACAATCCTCGCAACTTTGCGACCGTGAATCCCCCTTACCTCAGATGAGAAGGATGGCCATGATGCTGTCGACATGGTTTGGGGCAAAGCCAACCACAACCACAGGGGGGAAGGGCAGGGGGAACCCACACCACAGGGGGCCACAAAAGGCGGGGGGTTACCACGGGTGGCGGGGATGTAGCTCCAAAACCGAGATCCCACGTAGTTAGGTTAGTACGGGCAGGCAGGTAGGTAAGGACGGAGATAGGTAGGTGTAGAAAGGTAGGAGCACGCGACGTTCTGCTTTCGCTGCTGTATCGCGAATAGCAAATCTGCCACGTTTCATTCATAGCAGCACATATGTACGCGTGAATATTAGGTGTATCGGCCGGTGTCCATGAAAGTTATGATCGTATAGGACTCGATACCTCGCCCACTACAATTTGGTAGGTAGACGACAGGGGCCCATTAAACGGTTGGTTGCCCTGCTCACCCCAACGATCCTCATTGCCTGTGTGCAAGATCGGCCGCAACCACACCTGCAAAGAGTCGACAGGGAAGGGGACCGTCGTGGTCGTGCATACCTTGCACGCCAACATTGATTCTTCAATCTCCAAGATCCTCATGGCGTTTCTGTTCAACCGATTAAATCCCGAGATCTGGTAGCTTGATTCGGAAGAGCATGTTACTACTCCCGGGGTTCAGTGTAGGTTTGGGTGCCGTGAGGATCCGTGAGGGTCCTTGTTTTTCAGATCCGTTGGCTTTGCCTTCAGTGAGCTTCACACGCGTCGCTCTCTTGCGCAGGCCTTCGAGAGGGTTCGGTGTTCTCTCGCTTCCGCGTGTCAGCTGGGCTCCGCTTGGCTGTGGTTGAGGGGTTGGTTTTCTAGTGCCTGGTTGGTTTGTGCCTTGCAGGCGAGGGTTTTGTTTTGCTTCCCCGCTAGATGCTACAAGGGTCTTGATGGGTCAGCTGCGCTGGCTGCCCGTGTACACTGCGCGATTTTATCTGCCGTCCTTCTTGGGCCTCGCTCTTGATGGGTTGGTTATAGTGCTTGGGTTATTTTTTTGACTTCTAGGCTAGGGTTTTTCTGGCTTCCTGTTGGAAGTTGCAACGGTGCAAACGGGTCAGTTGTGCTGGCAGACCGTGCTTACATCAAGGTGTGCGTCTAATTCTTTGTTTTCTTTCCGCTTCGGCGGCCCGTTGGGGCAGCAAGCCACCCTTCGGGGCATAGGCCACTGCACTGTAAAGCGCACACACACACAGGTTACTACTGCCTCCTGCGATTCGGTATACATTTGCCAAGCAAGACTTTATGCATTGACCCATAGCTCGTAAACGCCGGGTAGAAACTAGTAAAATACGTTGTTTTCATGGATCACTGCTTGGTCTTTCCGACATTTTCTCGGGACGGGCAGCGAATCAGAGAGATGACGGAACATGCAGTAGATCTTGGGGATGTTGGGGAACGTGGTCGTAGCCGCCTCGGGCATTGTCGCACATCTTCCGCATCAGGATGAAAGAAAAGGCTCAGGCAGCCCGAGGCTTCAGGCAGGCAAAGCGCCTATCGAAACAAACAGGCTTGCGGCCTTCTCAGTACAGGCCTTGAACCCTTGACGCATAAACATCGAGAAGCTAGCACCGAAACACAAAGGTGCCAGCACCTTCGATCCTCTAGACGCAAAGGCTCCTAAGAACCTCAAGCCCTGATCTCAATCCTCCTAGACCCTATACCTGTATACCGAGAGCCAGCAACCCAGAGGGACCACACCGAATTACCAAAACCCTGAGCACACTCGTAGCTACGAAGCTGCAAGGTTCAAGGAGTGGTGGTAGCAGTCGCAGAGGTTCAGGAGGTTGTTGTCATGACGGTGGTGGCATGGGGGGGTACTTGTGTATAATCGTCGGCGTAGTGGGGAACCATGAGATGACAGCAACTTTCGAACACACGGGAATGTCGTGCCGTTGATCCAAAATGTTTTCCTTCGGGTACAGTGAGCAAACAGATGAGCGCACGCAGACACACAGACATAGGCCAAGATCACTTCAAGCAGTCTACTACGCGGCTGTACTTCCTGGCCGACCGCATGGTGCAGATCCCAGTTGAGAGTTTGGCTCCAGGTTGTCGTAAGCCCTGCACCACGAATCCCAGTTACAGCCAAACATCTGGAGCTCCCTCAGAGTTGCTCTTGGTAGCTAGCATTGGCAAGATCCTTTGGAGAGCTCTGGGACTCTACCGGACTCTGCCTTCCGAGATTCTGTTGGACTTCCCATGAGTCGATCAAGGGCAGCTGCTTGTGTTAATACAATTTGGTGGGGAGAGGCAGAGGGGATTGAGAGGGACTTCTTGAACACATAAAGTTTGTTTGGATGTCGACTCTTTAATGGTAGGATTGTGTGGCTGAGCATTTGTGGCTCCAGAGACCTCGGAGCCCTAGCATGAAGATAACACAACAATCCTGAAGCGCTCGGCTTGAGCATATTTGCCGAAGCTCCAGGTGGAAACTACTATGGACATGTTCCGCCAGCCGCGGAAGATGGTGCAGGCGACCACAATTTCACAATTTTACCGGAAGGGGGCGGCAGGGTCCTTGATTTGCAAGCTTCTAGGGGTCGATTGACAATAGCTACTGCTGCCACGGTGTTCACCAGCACCACGACTGCCGCAACCGCCCCTCATTTGCAACTGTTGTGACTACTCACTGCAGCTATTTCTCCTCGCTGCTTATGCTGTTGCTCCTGCTGCAGTTGTGCCGGGCGCCGTATGTTGTGCTGCCGCTATCGAAGAAACAACAGCTCGAACTTGTTTTGATGGGGCAGCAGTTTGTTCCTCATTGTAGCCATCTTGAAGCCATCACCTCCCCGGGTTGCCCAAGCTTCTCCCGTAGCAAACCCTATAGAACATGTCTAAGTCTAACAGCTTCTATAGTACGACAGTTTTAGACTCTTGGAGGAGATCTCTGGTTTGGGACTGCGGCACGTTGGCTACGGCATCCCCACAGAGCTTTTTGGGCCGTGCCTTGGGCCCAGGGAAGTCTCGGACTTGGTGGGGTTAGGTGGGGTTTAGGGTTTAGGGTTCTAGGACTTGGTGGGGGCTAGGTAAGAGGCCCCTGGGTATTGTGGAAGCAAGGTATGTGTCGGCTGGAGTGGATGTCGTTCGCTCCATGACGACCGACGAGAATGCCCTATCTGGTTTTCGTTGGTCCCTGACGCTCGTGTCCAAGATTCTGGTGCGGGCGGTGAGTGAGGGCGCGACCCTCGTTATGAGAGCCATCAACACCAACCAGGTGCACCGTGCCTTGTGTCATGGGATCTGGACGAGGAGTCCTAGAACCCTTGAATATCTTGAAATCTTGCAGGAGCTGGCCTTGAAGAAAGCCATCTCCATCGCTCCGCGAGGGAAGCGAGCCACAGAGCTCCTGAACATCTCAGTAGGCGCAGGGAGATAGGGGGAGGGTCCTTCGGTTCTTTTGCCTCGGGTGTTTGGTTTGCCGTGGTCATGTTCTGAACCCCACAGGCACTCAGTCCATCTCTCCGCTATTTTGGGCCATCGAAAGTGGCGCACTAAACAGCGCGCGAGCAATGCTCGTCGACTTGCTGACCATTCGCGCAGACAGGGACGTCTACTACTATGGTTGTGACGACCTTTTCACGAGGCATCCAGACATTATCCAGCGTTTGTGCAAAGACGCGCCAACGTTGTTATGGACTTTGTTGGACGGCCTCATCTGGCGATCTCGACTCACCTACCAGGGTCTGCGCCGAGTGAACTACTATGTCAAGCATTTAGTGCAAGATTTGGACGGAAACAGCAACCAGGCTCTTGAGTGGCTGGCCGAGCACAAGGATCCGAAGATAATTGTTCATCCAGTCGTGGTACTCTTTGCGGATCTGATCTGGAATCGGCTTGCAATGTACCACTTCTTGCTTGGAAGATGCTACTTCCTCTTTGCCTTGTGCGTTTTCGTCACCAGCCAAGCGCTCCTCTTCCGACATGATGGGACAGAGGCGCTTGAGGAGAACATAGCTCGGTTTGTTTGCAGGTGCTTCCTGTACTTCGGGAGCTTGAGCAAGTTGTTCTACAACCAATGCAAGCTCTTCTACTCCGACATGAAGACCAGAAATCTGATGTGGTTTTACCTCTGTCCAGTTCCGAGATACTTGAGCAGTCCTCAGCATGCAGGAAACCTGTTGTTGGTGATCTTGCTGATTCTGATGTACATCGAGGAGCCCATTCTTTGGTGTGGAATCTTCACCACTGACGATCCTGTGGGGCTCTTGTTCACGAACAACTGCGAGGCATCAGAGCCGATTAAGGATCTCTATTCCATCTTCTCTTGCTTTGCAATGCTCCTGTATTGGGTTTTGTTGATGGACTTCACCCTCTTCTCCATGAAAATCTCGGCCTTCGTGCTCGTGTGTGGCCACGTGCTTGCGGATGTAGGCCTGTTTGTGCTCGCCATTGTGTTCTTGGTCCTGGCCTTCGCCACAGCGATAAGCTCCTTGAACCACGGGCTTTCAAACTTTACTGGCATCGACCCTTGGTTAGTCAGTCTGGTGCAGATGACCCTGGGGATGTTCCCTGCAAGAGACTACGACGACTTCCAGTCAGAGGTTGCTGTACTCACAGCTGTGTCCGTTTTCGTGGCGGTGGTCAGCATTTTCCTTCTTAATCTTCTCATCGCCCAGCTCAATCAATCATACCATGATGTTTTCGAGGATATGCAAGGCTTCGCACGTCTGAACCGTGCCGGTGTCATCGCCGCAACACTGGAACAGGTACCCAGGAAGAACTGGATGAAGTTCCGGGAAGGTCTTCTGTTCGAAGAGCGCCTGGAGTTCAACGAGGGGGACGTGGGCCTAGAAGGTGGGATTCAGGTGACGGAGGCTGCGAATATCAACCCACTCACAGAGGACACCATCCGACGGTATGGTGGTTCTACGGCCCCCACCATGCCATGGCCACAAGAGCACACCGAGGAGAGAGAGAGAGAGAGAGAGAGAGGGCGGGGGTTGAAGACTTTAAGAAGCAGAAGCCCCTTTCCGGCCTCCCTCTTGCTCAGGACACGCAGGAGGAGGACAAGTTCGAGAGATTGGAGAAGCTGATCCTCCGTTCCAGCAAGAAGAAGAGAGGTGGAGCCAGCAGTGATGCTTCCGGCTCCTCCTTAGCAGGCGACTCCAACTCCCAGGCAGGTCACTCAGATCACAGCTCAAGGAGTTCCCAAGGCAGCTCCTGACAAGAAAGGGCACCGACCAGAGGCACCTGAGAAGTTTCACCAACACAGTACCGATCTTTTGCGCCAAAGGCGCCTACCGATCCACCCGCACCTGCTCGCTTGAGCCTAATTTGCGAAAGCCCGCACTCGGGGTGCCCACAGACCGCCCAGACATGTCCAGACCTCCAGACCTCTCGCTTAGACGTCTCCAAAGACCGTCGGACTGTGGGAGACCCCTTCAGGTCCCCACCTGCTAAGTAGCAAACGGGAATGCCCTGCAGAGGCATGTAGACAGTTCGCAAAACTGCGCGTGGGCAGCTGCACTCCCCAGAAAGCGCCCGAAGTCGACATCAGAGTCCTCAGCTGCAGGCCCTGTGCTGAGCCAGCCACTGCAGTACTCGGCCAATCTCCCTTCCATGGTAGGGGCCTCGTGGCTGCCCGGTTTTGCAGGGAGGGGGTCGGGCGAAGCCCAAGGTGGAGGGCTTTCGCGTCGTGGACCAGGCGCGAGATCGGCAGTAGGGTTCCTTGAGGGGCATGCTGACGTGCTTGTAGATCCCAGAATCGTTTCCAGACTCGCCAGGCCTGCCCGATCCTCGATGAGGACGGCTCCCAGGCGCCCACACTCTTGGCTGTGGACGCAATGGGTTGTGGCAGAATAGAAGATCCACTCACGAGGACGTAGGGAACCGTCTGCTCAGTCTGCGCAGTTGCCGACCTCCGACATCGGTATGATGGGAGAACTGGGTTCGCAGGCTGGCATTCTCAGACTCCTCGTCTTCCTGGAGGCCAGGCCGAGATGTGTCACAGGCAAAGTAACACCGGGTTGGGATGGGCATTGATGACACTTGTGAAAATGATGACTGTGATGATGACAGTGTTGATGCTTATATGTTCGAGAATTTATGACAATGATGACACAGCGGCTGCTGCTCATTCTGATGCCGATGCTGCTGCCGCTGCTGCTGATGCTGATGCCGATGCTGCTGATGATGATGGTCTTGGTGAAGACGGTTGCGACGGGGCGGCGACGCCGGCGGGACGACGACCACGACCACGAGAATGACGAGGATGATGGTATTGTTGTTGATGATGATGTTCGTGAGTACGGAGTTGTTGCTGCCTCGAGTCTAAGCGGGCAAAAGACTCGGTGAACTAAGGATTTGGGTGCCGCCAAGGTGGCCAGATCCGAGGAGATGGGGGAGTGCTGTAAACGGTATTACAACGGGTACAAACAGGAGCACTAGAGCTAAACTTTCTTAAGGGGCCTTTCTTTATGCTTCGTGTGCTCGCGTTTGGAGGTGAACTGTGAAGGCTGATAGTGCTGATCTGCAGCCTTTCTCTAAATCCCAAGTCTGAGTCTAGTTGCCATAAGGGTTTTCAGTGCTCCGGAGTGACCGAACGTGCTGTGTCGATGCGTGTTGGTCACCCATACTTTGCTGCCCAAAGCCTTTTAAAGTGCTTCGCCTGTGCTACTATGGCTTAGCGGCTTGGCGGATCCAATCTGAGAATTTTCGTTCAGCGCCCAAATTCGTGCAGGAGGCTCCCAAGGGCGAGGTGGCCTCTTTGCACTTGGAAAGAGCCTTCAGTCACCTGGGGGTTGATCTGCAGTTTTTTGGGATTTTGCGGAGCAGGTTGCTGCCCCAGAGACAGCCCCCGTAAGACGGCGCAACGAGGCCTGACATTCCAGACCCACACAGTGTCCGCTCTTGTCCTGCGAGTTGGAGTTCTTGCGAGGCGCATCAGGCAGACGCTGCAAAAGCTGCTGGACTTGGCGCGACAGCGGCGACAACGGTGGGAGCATTTTTGCATTGATCTTTTCGCCATCTGTGCCGCACCGTGCATGGGCACATGTAGTGTGTCTCAGCAAAGCCGTCCAGGCCAGTCAGAAGTCTTTGCTGGAAAGCGCCTTCGGACTGGAGCCCGGCTCCTATGCGTGAGACCATGAATCTTGCAGTGCGAGCATGGGTAGGGTGCAGTCGCAGCCGCCCAGGCTATGGCGGCAAACGGAGGAGGTACATGCTCTGTGTAAGTTGTTGAAGACTGGTTCTGACGCCATTTCAGCCTCCGCTTGCGAGGACAAATTCAGGGCGTACTTGGCAGAGCAGGAAGCTGACCTGAAAGCAGCTCGACCTCAGCGTTGAGATGTGTTGGCCGAAACCCTAAACGGATCAGTGGAGGCTCGCCTCGAGGAGGAGTATCGACAGCGGGAGGACGATCTCGTTCTTTGTTGTATTCCGGTGTAGGAAAGTTCCTGAACTCAGAGCACAAAGGCCGCCAGTTGCATCTTGTGTAAGGCCCCAACCCCAGAAACTTTCGAGCAGGAGGCACGCGCTGCCGAATGTACCCAGCGGCAGGCTCATGCGCTTCCTTTCGAGGATTGTGGGTGCCGCTTCGCCAAGGGGATTAGATGTAAGAGTCTGAGAGTTTTGAGGTGGGTCTTCTTCATCTTGCTGCAACGTCTTTTGCATTTCGTGCCTGCAAATCCCTGCAAGTCAAAAGCATCCGAAACCGATTCCTGCCTACATATCGGGATGTGAGGGAGTGAGGGATACACAGAACGCTTATCCTGTGTTGATCACTACTTGGCCCGTTCCTGCAGCTCACATCTAACGTTTACAGCATGTTGTTTCGCAATTTGGTTGAACGCATGCGCTCCTCGTCATAGAAGTGCCACTTTTGATTTGTGAACTTATTTCCGGTGTCAAGTTGACGAGAGTGAGAGCTGCGGCGTCGTCTGCATGTGTGCCCACTGCTTTACATGTGTCATCCAGGTGCAGTTCTGGGCTGGACGTTTTCAGCTGCATGGGACATGTTTCCATTTGCAGACCTCGTTGTGGGTGTCCTTCACTGAATGTTGAGGTTGTACTTGGTGTGCAAGGTTGTTGGTCGGGAATCAAATTCCAAGCTACTACTTTCTGACGCAGGCCAAGATCCAGCACGTTGAAGCCACGGTAAGGAGGAAGCTTCAGGTGATGTACCCAGCACGAGCCAGCAGGTGGCTGATGGAGCCTAAACCCTAAACCCACCAGTCTCAGGAGCTTCAACAGAAGGAGCTCTCCATCCAGTCTGAGGAAGCACGTGTGTGAGCCTCGTGTTTCAAGGATTCGGGAGGGCCCCTGTTTGTTTTTGGGATGGCACGCCCTGAACACGAAGAGGGAAGGCAGGAAGAAACAAACAGTTATCCAGGATCAACAGTTATTTCAGGATCAAACTTACAGCTTTATGCGAGTTCTTATCTTCCTTGCAGTCGAGACTCGTTTCTGCATTTAGTAACTGTTTATTTCCTTCGTCTTCCTTTGTGCATGCCTTTCTTTCGTGATGTCGTTCTACCGTTCCTTCTTGTTGTTCCTTATTTGTTGGTGTGTTAGTGTTTTGGTTTGCTACTGACCTCTGTCGTTGCTTAGTTCGTTTCTGTCTTCATTTACTTGTTTGGATGGGTATCGTTGTTTCTCTCGCTTGAGTGCTTTCTTTCCGCATGTGTTCCTTCGGTTCTGTTTTTATTGAAAGACGCAACACGACCGCTGCGACTGCTACTGACTACGCCCACAATGTCGCACCCACCCACTCCTTTTCGGGTTTGAGGGTTTCGCACCCAATCACTCCTTTTAGGGTTGAGGGTTTTTCACGAAACGGACCCTGCAACTGGAGTTTACCAACAGCTGGACAAGAGACAAAGGTCGTGGAAGCCCAAGGACGGAAAAAGCTTCCACTTCCAAAAACCCAAGGGCCAAAGCCACGCTCCAAGGTGGGTAGCTTGCAGCTCAAGGCCCAGCGAGACAGCGAGATGGTCCCGATGCCCAGACCGTTGGGAGAGCAAGGGCTTCCTAAGAGCTTTGGGATGTTGCAGGCCGTGGCTTCAAAATAGGGCATGTCCCGGTTTGGGACATCTCAGCTGGGGTGATGGCATGTTTTGGCCCTTCGGGCTTTTGCAGCTCGTGGAAGCATTCAGCAGAGGCAATGGCGCAGCGAGAGGATGTGGCCAAGTCGCGGGCTCGCATAGCTGTCGGGCTTGACAAGAAAGCCAAAGCTTCTAGCCCATGCTACCCCTTGACCTTTGCCGCCCTCCGCGCTTCTCCAGCCAAAGGCCTCTGAAGCACTGGCTGCATACTGAGGCAGGAGATGTCCGAGCTTTCGCACAGCCATTCCCCGAGCGAGAACGTGATGTGTTGTGGGCACTTTGAATTTTGGTGGCATCCATTGAGCCCTTTGCGCGCTCTTGCCCATGCTGAAGGCTTGGAACTGTCCCGTGCACGGAGTCACTTCTTGGAGGAGCAGGTGGCAGGAATGGAGGCCCCGCGCACCGAAGCCACCGTGGGGCGATGAGCACAACGAAATCTGCATCACTGAGCGGAGTTCGCCCTCAGCGCAGGCCCAGCTTTCCGCTGCTTCGACCAAGCTCCGAAGCCTGGAAGAGGCCAAAAGCGAGCACGACACGGAACTGCGAGCACGGGCCCTGGATTCCGGATGTGCCCTCATGCTGGAGTCCTGCTGATGGTCAGGGTCATTGCTGTGGTTGTCGTCGCCAGTGCATTCTGCCGTCACCAATGTGGAATCGTTTGCATCCCTTCCATGAATTCTGTTTGAACTTGTGCTGAAAGCCCCAAAAACAGTAGCTTCAGCACGTCGTACACCACGTCCAGGCCATGATGGCGCCATCGCCGGAGCTGAAAGAGGACTTTATCCTCACCCGGCAAATAAGGCATTTGGCCCCATTTGGCTTCTGTGGCAAAGGCCAAACAGAGCCGTAGCCTCTGGGCCAAGAAGGAGGTTCTTGAGCTGAAGATCTTCGTTGAGTTCTGCGAAATTCCTTTTTTGTTCGACTTCAAGAGTCACTTGTGCTTCTTGGCAGGAGTTGCAAGAGCTGCGCCTGTGTCTTGGTTGCATCTGGTATCTGCATCAGGAGATAGCAGCGGCACCAAAGGTTCATGCCCAGAAGAAGACGAGTTTTCGTGCCCATTTTCCAGAGACTGCTTGAAGAAGACCAGAGACGGACAGATTGCACCAGTTTTACACAGCCGGATGCCAGGTGCCGACAAAAAGACGGAGAGAGAGAGAGAGAGAGACGGGGGATTTCAAATTTCACTTTACTTGTCTTTGCAGATGTACGGGGAAGTCATTCATGTCTGCATGTGTTTGAGAGAACATTCGAACATCCTCCTTTTTGTATCCCAACTTATTCAGCTTTAGCGCATTGGATGTTCAATGTTCGTTCGTCACTCCCCAAAGCCTGATCAATATGATCGGGTGGGCCAACAGGCCCGGGGACGGTGAGACGTCCCCATGCCCGGGAGAGAGAGAGAGAGAGAGACAGGGGTGCCCGCTCGCGCGCAGGGCACAGGGTCGGACCGCCCTGTGTCCTTTGCCCCGGAGAGAGAGAGAGAGAGAGACAGGGGAAGAACAAGAAAGAGGAAGAGACAGAAGGAACGCAGACCAGCAGGGTCCGCAGCAAGATATGAAACCGGCTCCGCAGGAGCAGATGATCCAAACTTGGAAGTTTTGTGCCTGTGGAGGCGCCTCCGAGAGCAGGAAGTCCGAGGGGAGGCCGCGAGCTTATAGCGGGAGTTTCAGAAAATCGGTGAACCTAGCAGCCGAGCACAGAACAGAGCCCCAAAGAAGAGGATTATAAAAGGGACTCCCAAATAACGTAAACTAGGGACCCTGATACAGAACCTGCAGAACGGATCCTTTTCGTAAGGATCCCTTATATAAGGAATCCTAGGATTCTGACTTGAGTGTTTCCTTGGGCCTTCGAATTCTGCAAGGCCATCGCCGCTTCTCGAGACCACTTCAAGCACAAGGCCGGGCGGGGGCCCCCATAAACTAACAAATCAATGAATAGATGCAATGTTTTTGTCTGGTATAGCAACCCTCGGCACCAGCCCAAACTAAAAAATCTTGAACCACTGAGGCCCCAAACCCCAAATGACCCTAAGCCCTCTTTCTGCTCCCTTCGCGTCGTGGCAGGTCCAGGAGCTTTGTGGGCGCCTTCTTGGCTCGGGCCCTGCTCAGAACACCCAGACCCAGGCGGGCGTTTGGGGTTAAGGGTTCAGAGGGTTCAGGAGTTTAAAATTACGGGTTTCAGGGGTTTAGGATCCAGAGAGGATCGCTAGCTACCGGTCGTACTTCATTGAAGTGAAAGTGGAGCGTCCGTGGCGGTAGGAGACCGCCCTGACGGCTCTTGGTGTACTTGGCCGGGTGGCCCAGATCCACCGCTTTCTGCTTAAGCAGAAGCTCAGGCTCATCAGCTTTGGTGTCTCTCTTGCTCTTCTGCTCAGCCTCGGAGCCTACAGGAACATCTTCGGCTGGGGACGTGACCAACAGCATCACCGAAGCCCTGCGCAAGGCGGGGTGCTGGAAAGGAAGTGAACTGTCGAAGCTTGGGGGAACCGCAGAACATGTCTGGCTTTCAACTCGCAACTTCGTTCTAGGACTAAGCTGCTGCCCCTGAGTCCAGACTACGATCGAACAGCTTGGCTCGCCTTCTTCTGCACATGCTCAGGTGAGGCAGGAGTTGGCAAACCTGGCGTGGAGCCGACTTGTTTCCGACGTAGAGTCCTTGATTTGAGCTCTAGAATGCTCTAGAGTTGAAAAGAGTGCAGCTGGATTCTGAGGATTTTTCTAGCTGCCCTTGCCGTCTCTGCAGAATCGAGCGGCCGGCAGGTCTCACTGGGACCGGGCTGACCCAGATCAGACGCGAGAAGAGCCGGAGAGGCCTGCGCAAGGGCCGCCATCGCCAGCTTAAGCTTCGCTTGGAGTTTAGAGGCCCGCGGCGGGTCCAGTGCGGACTTCACAGGACGTGGGGGCTGCCAGATGCTGCCAGACATCTGCACGGAAAGTATTTTGCAGACATAACCTGGTCCTTGTGCTTGCGACTCCCGCACCCTCACAGTTACATATGCTTTGACAGTTTGAGGACTCTGAAAAAGCAGAGCGGCACCTCGTCCGGCTGCTCAGAGAGTCATGCGGCTCTGGGCATCTTTGTGGCCTACTGGGAAATACTGGGAACTTTGGTTTTGCTGGCTCCTTTCGATTGGACGGGTCTGAACAACGCCGTTTGACAAAGGCTAAGGTCCCTTGCTGCCGGCTACTGCGAGCGGAAGCTCTCCGAGCTTACCCAGAGGGCCCAATACCCCTTAATCAAGGAAACAGCCTTAAACCAAAAGATTGAGGCCCCTCTAATTATTAATTTAGGTAAAATCCTTAATTAAGGGGTATTGGGTTCTCCGAACTTAACAACCGAGGCCTGGCTCAAAACGCAGCGGCGTCAGCTGCTCGACAGCGGCGTGTATGGAAGCCCGAGCCTCAGACGGACAAGCTCAGAATGGAGCTCTCCAAGCGACGTCTCCTGTCTCGAACAGGCAGCGACGCTGTGGTACTAGCGCTGGATGTGAAGATAGCGCAGGCTGAGGGTCAGAGACAGAATGGCAGTTTCGAAGCCAGCAAGAGTCGGTAGTGTTTTGGACGCGTGAGACAGTGGGACGTCAACGGGTGAAAGAAACTTGTCTCCTTTGGTCGGCACCTTCTGCGTGTCTGCGGAGGCCGAGGCCCAGGTCACTTGACAGCGGGCAGCGAGGAGTCTGATGGAAACCAGGTTGTACATAGGGTTTGTACATAGTCACCCCGCTTGGCTTGCCCTGCTGCGCTCAATGTGGACTGAATCATTCTGCAAGAAGTGCTTCTCGGCATGGTGCTCTCGAGGCAATACAGGCAGGCAGGAGAGGGAGTGAAGGGGGCACGCAGCAGACCGCTGCAAGCGCTATGGCGCTGTCTATCTGCGTGGGGTTGCAGAAAGATGGTCAACATGTTCTGAAGTCTCAGATAGGCCCCTGCCGCCTGCTGTCGTTGATGTCAGAGGGCTTGCAGAGCTGTGCTGTTGCAGGCCAACTTCCCCCATCAGGCGGCCGTCGCCTGTGCCGGCCTCAATGCTCGCACTGCAAGGGCCTGGGGCGAACGTAAAGACAAGGGTTTCTGCACAGGCCAAGGCTCGTCTTGCAGCATCTGCAATCGCAGCAACAATTACAGTATGATATGCCCTAAAGGCCCTATTCCAATTATGAAGGCCCCTACATTAGTTACGAAAAGCGGGTGCACTTGCGGCCGCCAAGATCGCCGAGCCTGGGATGTCCATGGAGAGCTTCCAGAGTCCCGCGCTGCCGCCGCTGAGAGGGGTCCTGGTTGTACGGAGGTAGGGGCGGACCTGAACGGACCACGCTCTACCCTGGTCACCTGTTTGGGATGCCGGGGTGGAGGAGTGAACGGGATCGGAAGTCCTCCAGCAGTCACACTTCAGCTTCTATTTTAGACAGAGTCACGGGAGAATTGACAAACTGGGACTGTTTAAGGAGGGTTCCGGCTCGAGCTAAATTAGGCTTTGTCTCTGAAGCTGCAAACGCAGTTCCGGAGAGCCCTGAAGATCAGGGCTTCCGAAAGCCTTTTCTTTCCACCCATGAGCCCGAGAGATTTAAAAGTCTTCTCCTCACCCTCAGCTATGTGCCCACACAGTGCGACTTTGACGTGGCTGTCCTGGCCATACCCTTTTTTTTTTTTTTCTCATGCTTGCCAGCACTACGAAGCCAGTAGCATTAAGCTGAAGCATGTTGGAGCAGCTTCCCCATCCAGCTCCCTCTGTCAGTACGGTTCCTCCCGATTTACCCGTTTCATCCTGTACAACGCATCCGAGCGACGTGCCTCCGAGTGATTGGAGTGTACCTGGTTGCACCATGGGATGCAGCCGCAGCGCGGTTGTCTGCCGGGAACGAACTGCTGCGAAGCTTGTCGGCAGCCGGGGGTTCTCATTGCGACCGAACCGGTTTCTGGGGCGTTTCATCGGGTGCAGCCCTTGAGGTCAATGTGCCGGCAGAGACGTATGTGGCCGTGGATCCCGGTACATGTTAATCAGGGCACTCTCTTGGAACGCGTGGTTCCGCAGTTTAAGCTCAGAAGTTCCTAATTGCAGAACGAAGCAGAATAGAGTGTGCGAGGAGCGGTTTGGGGCCTTCCAGAGATTGCTGGGACCTGGATTTGGTTTCGCTGGACTGGACATCTGTGGAGCTTGCATTACATTTCGCGCCATTTCCACCCGTGTTGAAGAGGAGCACTGCTCAATATCTACACAGACCCGTGACCATGAGTTTATTACAGCTGAGATTACCATCCAGTATTCGGTGATACCCAAACAGGCCAAAGATGCGATCTACAAGTTGGTGCATGAAAATTTCGACGGATTGATGCGGTCTTTCCTCACCGGACCAGTATGCGCATTTTTAAACAGGCTGAAACTGGAAGAGGTGTTCGGAAGGAAGGACGAGATGACCGGTTCGGTTCGTGATCAGCTTTCGGACTACGTGCGCGGCTATGGGTTCACCATCCATCGCATGGAGGTCGGCGATGGGATCGTGGTCAACAAATGATAAAAGAGACTCAGTGCTTAAGTTTAGGCTCAGAAATCCCTGAGGTGACGGAGCTCAAGGTCTGTCCCGATGTGATGCACGCCATGAATGAGGCCCATAAACAGCGACGGGCTCGCGACACGGCTGAGCTGACGATGGCCAGCCATGCAGCACAGAAAGCCCAAGAGGCACGACGTCTGAAGAGTCTTCGACTTCATCTCTATGGCAAGTATGATGTATGAAGAGGCTCAGCAACAGCATAATCACAGGAGTCTTGCAGAGACTGGAGGCCTAGAGAGCGGATGCTCATCAGTAAGCTCTCCCTCAGCTCCAATCCATGAAGCCACCGCCAAGGCCTGAAACTTGAACACCTATCAGGAGCGAATCATAATGAAGCGTTTGAGGTCCGGGCTGTCCGCAAGACCACGAGAACCACTCACATGACTAAGCCTGACTAAGCCAACAACGACATATCTGTAGCTCCAATCGCATGTGTTTCAATTATGTTTTTGTCATGCAGTGTGTGAAATTGGAAACGTTTCGTTTTTCTTGTATTTATCGATGGATGTGTGCATGCAGGTATGTATGTATGTATGTATGTATGTATGTATGCATGCATGAATGCATGCATGCATGTACGCGATGTCATGTAATGTACTGTAATGTCATGTACTGTAAGGTAGTGTGTTTCAGCATAAGATGCGTAAGGTATGTAATGCATGTACTGTACTGTACTGTACTGTACTGTACTGGAATGTAATGTAAACTAATGTACCGTAATTTATGTAATGTAATGTAATGTTTTTTTTGTGTAAGGTCTGTAATGTAATGTGTGTAATGTATGTTATGCATGTTATGTAAAGCAAATGAAGGAAGTAAGCATGTATGTATGTATGCATGCATGCATGTAGGAATGGAAAACTTCGCTATAGATGGGGACAAACAGGCAAACACACAAAGAAACAAACACACAAACAAACAAACAAGCAACAAAACAATCAAACGAACAAGCAAACAAACAAGCAAGCAAACAAACAAACACACAAACAAACAAGCAAACAAACACACAAACAAACAAACAAACAAACAAACAAACAAGCACACATACATACATACATACATACATACATACATACATACATACATACATACATACATACACACATATACACGCATACATGCATACATGCATACATGCATACATACATACATACATACATACCTAGATTTGTCCATATACATATATACACAGAATTATGTGTAAATCTTATTAGCATGTGTGTATATAAATATATCTATAATTTCGTCTATAATGTATGTATGCATGCATCATGACAATTGTATATACGAGTCTGAAGCCCTGATGCAACAGGCTACCGAACTGGCCTCGGCATCGCGTCTCCGGGGCGAGCGCCTGGCAGCCGAGTGCTCTGCCATCTTGGAGGGCCTACAGGCTGGAGTTTGGGTAGGGTTTAGAGTTTAGGGCTCTGTCTATCTATCTCTGTCTCTGTCTCTGTCTCTGTCTCTGTCTCTGTCTCTGTCTCTCTCTCTCTCTCTCTCTCTCTCTCTCTCTCTCTCGCTCGCGGTTATACAGGAGACGGAGGGATGTAGGTAGGTGGACATATAGATAGCACTATATGCACGTATATGTAAATATGTATTTTGACATTTATGCACTTACAGGTGTATCTCTGCTACCTGGTGTCCAAACCTGTCCCACACGCCTCACACCGGCAGGATCCCCAGTGCAAGGACGAGCTCTTCAGTAGATTTGAGTCCGTCCAAATCGAGAGAGCGATCCGGGAAACCAGCGCCCAACCTCTCCCAGATGATATGGAGAACATCCAGGAGCTTCTGAAGGAGCCGGATGACAGCGAGGATTCCTCCTTGCTTGCGAGCTCCCGCGTCGCCGGGGTAGTTCTTGGACGGTCGACCCCTGGCCTTGGACCACCACAGAACCTTATGCACGGCTGAGCAGACCAAGACAAAAGAGAGCCTTTCATTTCATCGGGCCTGCATGCTTCGGTAGGCACCGCAGGGCCGGACTGCGCAGTGTTTGCCAGGCACGCCGCCTTCTCCAGCAAGAGGATGTCAGCCTTGCAAGGACCAGAGATCCTCGACTCTGTTGTGCGAACCCATGTGCAACAACGAATGTCTACAATGTAAGCATGGTTTCGACATGCCAATGCCCGGTTCTCTTTACCAGTTGTTTAGCCAAAGTTGCAGACTTGCACTCAGAATGCGACAGCATTGAACTATGACTGTCATTCTCAAGGATGCCGCTTCAAGGTCTTGGCATCACACGATGACAGACATCAAGCCCCAATCCAAATCAGCTCAAGAAGCTTTACATGCACCCTGATCTCTCCACTGCAAGCCCACCAGCTAGAAACTGGAGAGAAGTCGACGCCTGCGATCGGAAGCCATAAGCCCCTGGAGCTCGTCAAAAAGCAGATCTCCCCACACTCCAAACCCTCAATCCTTGAACCAGGACCCTTGACCCCTAAGCCCAAGACCTCAAAGCTCCAGGAGTTTGCAGGAGTCCCTGGATAGGTGCGGCGAGCTCGAGGCGGTTTTATAAGGGCATTCTTGAGATCATGGTGGGTGATGAGCCCCTGTGCTGTTCGACAGATAGTTTACGGTGATCTGCCCAGAGACAGCTAATGTTGTTATATGTGCTGTTGGTACTCTCCTTGTGACTGCCAGGAGGGGTTTCGTTCTCTGACTTGCACCTTTTCTAGGGGTGTTGCCGGGCTCAGCAGGCGAAATGCCGCAAGCATGAGAAGGAAGACATGAAAGCTCCTTAGAACAGGCGATCAAGTTTAGTCGTCTGCACTTTGCGGTAGGGGTCTATGTTGGTGGAAGCTTCCAAGCGCAGAATTGGACAGCGACAAGAGCCAAGCCTCATCTGACCATGCCAACTAGGGCCGCGCCCACAGAGCGAGAAAGCGATGAGCCATGGAGGAGTGGGGCTTCAGTGCCGGAGATGAAGTTGAGCTCAGGCCAGTGAGACTGAGGTAGAACTGTAGAACGAAATCATGATGAAACCAACGCAGAAGGAGAATTACAAGGACTCGAATCGTAATAGCATTTATACAGTAGTATCAGTATGACTATACCAGTATCCAGCCCTAAAACCCTGATCCCTAACATTGTCATGATGGTAATGTTGCAGAAACACAGCTCAGGGGCTTGTCGAAGCTGGAGCTCAATGGCCAGCGGGGCACCGTCTTGCCCCTGGAATTCCCGGAGCAGGCCTGTTCAGGGTTTAGGGTTTAGGGGTTAGGATTTAGGGTTTAGGGCCTAATTTTCAGGTTTAGGATTTGGGATATATATATATATACGCTATGCCTGGAATAAAACCAACCTGATGTCGATGTCTTGAAAGGCTCAGCAGCTGGGGCGACTGGCGGTGATGCTGCACTCCGGCAAGCAGCCGTGGCCCCGGCAAGTCCCAGTGAACTTGGAGAAACGAAAGCCAATGCAAGCATCGAATTATCGGCTCTGCGACTTGGGCTCCCGAGGCTGTCTCTAAAAGTGGGGAATCTGCACAAGATCAAAGCCGAGATCAACACAGGAGGTGCTTCTTGCACGGCTTGGCCCGCCTTCCACATTCGTTCTCGCTTCGGGGGAGTTCCTCTCCCACTTTGCCAGGAGACCTTGGCGCGGAATGGTCTGCGTCGCTGCACCCCGGTGCATCACGGCCCCTGCACGCGGCGGCCACTCCGGGTCGGGAGCTCGTGGTCGGGGGCCTCGGAAGACCTCCAGTGACGCGGCGGTTCGTTTTGTTTCGCTTTGAAGGTCATGACCCTGAACATGCAGTACCTTGCAAGCTTTCCCCAGGACCCGACTCTTGCAAGGCCAGTGGTATCACGCACTCTGTGTGCCGTAACACCTTCCCGTGGGCAGGCGTCGGCTGGTTGAGATCACGTCTACTGTACCTCGCCCTGACGTAATATGCGTGCAGGACATCGGACAGCATGGGGGACTTTGCTTAGAGTGCCTGCGGATACAGAGATCCGTGCTTGACAGGAAGGCTTGGAAGGGATCGACCTTTTCGGCCAGGCACGGCACCCAGCACATCTTCTACTGTAGCCTCAGAGCCTGCTTTTTTCCCCCTCGCCCTCGGTGGAATTTGCAAAGTTCGGAATGTTGACGTTCCCATGACAAGCACTTGCTATGCCTACTTCTTTTCAGCAAGGTTGGTTGACCGGATGTTCACCGTGTAAGAGTCAGGAATAGCCTCGCCCAGTTTGGGTAGTTACATCACCGTGAACATCTATAGCTCAATACATCACAATTACTAGCTCATTATCTGTAAAATACTCTATCTCATCCTATTTATCAGGTGATGTAACACTCGAAATGGGCAAAGCTAGGTTTATTCATTTTATGTAGAATAGTATGGGGTATGGGGGTTTATTCAACGCGCCACAGCGGCGAGACATCATCAAGAACGGCGACTTCTGAGTCTACAACTTCCAGAAGGTGCGCCTTGCCGTTTGTGTCGTGCACTTATCTTCTGGCTAATTCATTCTGCGGATGTTTCCTGCATTTCTGCACATCTTGCCCAGCAATCTGGAAACCTGAAGCTTCTTGTGTCAAGTTTCGTAGCCGTCCGTGATAGCCATGAGCCAGTTCCACCGGAACGGGCGAATGGTGGGCTTGGCGCTTGTCATGTGGCAAGTTCACGTCACTCTCTTCGCCAGTTGGGGCAACCGCTTTGAGGCACAACGACGTCCTGCAGAGCGCCGTGCTGCTGACCAAGGAATGCCCATGACAGAAACACGCCTCGACGTTTTATTCCTGAACTTTTTGCTACATCCTCCAGCAAACAATCGCTACTTGGCAGAAGTCAACCAATTCTATGTCAGTAGGATTCACACTTTTGGGGGGAACTGTTGGCAACTACGCACCTTGCGAAGCAGCAGCGGTACGCGCCGCATTGTCCCCATCATTGTCAACACGGGCGACTCAGCCTACAACATGCCAATCTTCAACGAGCGCGTGCGCAGCTTCTTCTTGCCAGATTACAACAAGCGCAAGGGCATGAAAGGTGATTGGAGGGGACGCAGGACAACGGATGCTGTCCAATTCCCGACACCTCTGGGCGATGGCATCTCCATCGCATCCGGAGAGTGGGACACTGAGCGCGCTGAGGACTGTTCGACAAAGCACTCGTTCCTCGTAACCCCATCCCATTTGCTGTTCGAGCAAGTTTGTGAAGTATTGCCTGTGCCCTGTGTTGGCAGGAGATTTACACACACGAGGAGGGCGTCATCTACAACCTGGTCGGGCACGAGCTGGCAAAAGTCATCGATGAGTGTGACGGCTTGGCCAGAAACCTCAAAGGTCTGGTTGAAGATGGCAAGTCTCAGTCCTTCATCCAAGAGTTCCGAGAGGAGGCGGTCAAGCAAACGGCAAAGGGCTTCGCCGCACACGGCGCCACAGTGAGCACCATTGAGCGCGAGGTGAGCTCCATGCTGATGGACGACATGATGCCGTGGGATGGAAACGCCCTCCCAGTCCCAGACCATCTTTGGGTGAAGTAGCTTTCCGTTCCAGTTCTGTGAAGAGAGATTCTAATCCCCTAACCTTGGGACTCCAATCCCCGAATCCCCTAGTTTTGGAACTCCAATCCCCGAACCCCCAAACCTTAGGACTCCAATCCCCGAACCTTGGGACTTCTCTCTTCTTCGAAAGCGTCAGAGAGCACCAGATGCCAGAATGCATAGAGGCACGGTGCATCGCAGACAGAACCGCCGACAGAGCACCCAATGCCACAAGCGCAGAAGCACCGTGCGCACAGAACCAAATCGCAAGATTCTCGGGCAAGAACAGGCGCTTGTTGCATCACCATTCTGAAGCCCAGCCTTTCAGCATTCAGCCTAAATGAACCCGTAAGCCCTTAACTTGGCAGGTGATGAAGGAAGGCGAGTTCCGGCGCGTCCCTGTGCAAAGCCAAGGTCAGGGCTTAGGGGTCGAGGTTTTGGTTTTTCGGCTTTCCCACTTCGGGAAAACGCTTGGCAACTGGAGCGGCGCAGGCAATCCGACTGTTTACCAAGAGCTTGGCGATGTGCCTCAGAAGGTGTTGGCGTCTTGCAGTTTAGCTTGGGTTGTTAGGGTTTTGTCCCCTAAATCCCTATAAAACCCTAAGGCGTTTGGTTCGCATAGCAACGCGAAGGCTTTCGCGTTCAAAAGTTGTGCTTCAAAAAAATAAAACAAGAAAACAATCAAAAAACGAAATAGTAAAAGTACGGTAGTGAAGATTTAGGGGTATGAAAGGATACAAAACACAAATAACATGAATATTTTAATAGTAATTGCCTATTATTTTTAGTCTAGTGAATCAAAAAAGCTGTTTACAATCAAAAAACGAAATAATAAAAGTAAGGTACTGAAGATTTAGAGATATGAAAGGATACAAATAACAAATGATATTAATGTTTTAGTATTATTTGTTTATTCTGCTTACTCTAGTAGGTCAAAGTTAGGTTTGTCAAAGCATCTACGTATGATTTTGTTAAACTCCCTTTTTGTTGTAGTGATATCAAGTTTTAGTCTATAGTTGTGATATAACTCATGATTTCGTTATTATCTTTACAATCCATTATTTCATTGAATAATTGTTCAAGCTTTCTGTGTCTTCTGGGGGTTATATTTTTTAATGATTGTCTGGACTATGTCATAGCATGGAAAAATCTCAGACACACTAAGAAACAACTTATCAACATTAAATAAAAACAAATCATTTGCTTCCGTTCGTTCTTCTAGTATTTCTTCTGCTTTAACTTTCTTTTCACAGTCATAGCAACTGCAAGTAAAACTATAAATATTATTGAGAATGTTCTCTGGTATTGGTAACTCATTTAACACACAATATTTATGATGTTTTTTATAGTCGTTACACTTACAAGTCTTTCTTTTTAGTTTGCTATTTGGTTTATAGTCCGTCACTTTAATAAAATCCAAGAATTGATTAATAATTTCTTCCTGTTCTTGTTCACTGAACATATCTATTATGATATCAATGTATTTTCTGCGAGATGCTACACCAAAAGTATCCTCAACGTCATAATATTGTTGAACCTGTGGCATACGCTTAAACTCAGGTTTGCTTTTCCACATACTCATATTATTAATATTATTTAGATTAAAAAATAATATTAAGAATTAATTTTCTTTCAATTGTTTTAATTCTTGTCTTCTTTCTCTTCTTCGTCTATTAGTTTCATCCTTATTTTTGTTCTTAAAATCTCGTTTTCCCAGTATTTCTTCTGGTCATATTCTCTAATTTTGTCTTTGTTTTCTTTCCTATTTTCTTGTTTATATTCCAGAATACGCTCTTTATTGTCATGATAGTATTCTACACTTTTTCTTCCAGCAACTAATTTATTTAATCCTGCTTTATGTTCTCTAATCAACTCACCCTCACGCTTTCTGAATTGGTCTTTGTTTTCAGATGGACATTCTTCCATAAGTTCAATATAAAAATTTTCTTCCCTAAATCTATAATTAATTCATAAAGTTTCATACCACCTAAATTTCCACATTTTAAATTTCGTCTATGCTGTGCCATTCGTTGACTTAAACTTTGACATGTGCTTCCGATGTATATTTCATCGTTTATAGTATTTCTAATACAATATATCTTACCTTGTGAATAGTCTTTTGGTTGTCTAGACATCTTGGTAGATATTGTTTAATATTGTTTTTTCTTTAACATTTTTGATTTAAAACTGTTTATTTTTTGCATTTGTTCCTCTCTTTTTGCTCTTCTTATTTCATTATAAGATGCTTCTATTAATTCTCTTGCTGTTAGTTGACGTGGTTATGGCGTTGGTTCTTTCATTACAACTGGTTTAGATTTAGTTTTAACTTCTATTGCTTCACTGTATTGTATTTGTTCCTTTGGCTTTTCATATTTCTTCTTCATCTCTTCCTCTATTTCTTTTCTCAGTTTCTCTTCCACTTTTGAGCCATAACTTGCCTTTTGTTTATTCACTGGCAATGTTTCAGTGCACTACATTCAACCAGCTCCACTACCTTAACTGTTCTTGCTTTCGCTTTTGCTTTTGCTTTAGGCCTTGCTTCTTCAACTACTTCATTATTTAATGGTTCATTTGTTGCTTCCTCTTTCGGTTCTTCTTTCAGTTCTTCTTTAGGTTCTTCTTCAATATGTTTATTATTTGTTATTTCAGTTGCTTCTTCATTTTTAACCTCTTCAACGGTTTCAACACTCATTATTAATATAGTCTAGATT